ACTTGGGACTGCTAAGTGACACTTGTATCTCTTGCTAATATATTTGTCCTTTCTAATACATGCTACTGACCAAAGGTCTACTGACATCATATAGAAACATATTCAGGTATTAAAAATGTGTTAATTGAAATCAATTACATTTGCACTTGTTATTCAAGTTATAGCAGATTAAGTAGCTGATGAAATGAAAATTATGTCTATATTTATACATACATACAGCAAAGAGACTATTCTTAGAGCAGAGCCCTGATTTTTGGAAACACAAATGATTGACAAATGGCAGCCATTGACTAGTGGTATGAAAGACAAAAATTAAGCATTTCTTTCACTTCGATTTTGCTCATCTAATTTTCAGTATTGCTGGAAACTATTAAAAATTAAAAATTGAAGTAGAAAATACATTTGAGAACCTTTTATAATACTAAATCGTTTAATAATCTTTATTTTCTTGGACAGGTCTGCTGATGTTGAGCTTGAAAAAATACAGAGATTTAACTGTATCCTTTTGAAAGCTGTAAAGATTTTTCACTTTTATATTCTGTTGTTCATCTGCATATTCAAATCTGCATTTTAGATCATGAAAGGCTCTCTATCCTGCTCTCACCTTCTTCTACTGTCTTACCTACTTCTTAAAATTACCTTTTTAAGCCATTTTTTGTTTTCTTATTTATCATTTTTGTTTTATCATTTATCTTGTTCAACTTCTGCATCACAGCACCAGAAACAAAACCAGTGGCAGAGTACAAAAGTAAAATAAAAAAATCACCAAAAAAAGGAAGCCCTTTAATGGGTATTGCATGCTCATCTGCTGATCTGTTCTTGAAAGAGGGATGATGCAGTTGCTTTTGGGCTTATTGTTGCAGTACAATACCTTTCTGTTTATTGACTACCTCAGTATTGTTCCATTGGGTTCAGCCAGCTCAAAAAACTATGCTGCGCTGCATGTGCTTCAAGCCACTCTGTAATTGTCTTTAAGCCAATGTTCAGTTTTATTAGCATGAAAAGTGCATGCTATTGAACTGTGCAGTGTGACATCAGATAGCTTACTTTTTAAAGTTAACTTTTGGATAAATTGAAGTCTTAGTTAAAGACATTTTCTATAAATGTTGTAGCCATTTTAAGTAATAGTCTTTTATTTTTTTGCTTTATGTAATTACCAGCCTATGAAATGTGAGACTTTGCAGTGCAGAATGATGAATACAAATGTAGAGAAGTATTTTTCTCATTAGGAGAAAGAGTTTGATATTTTTTCCTTAACAAAACAACACTAGTTTTATTGGATAATAGCAATGTTCTGGAAAGGTCATCTGCTGCAAAAAACAATCCACCTGGTATTGCTGTCAGAAAAACAGAAAAAGGGAGTGAGCCAGAAGAAATCAGTGAAGGGGGCGTCTTGGAGGCTTTGGAAAAAACTTCTAAAGTAATTCGGGATATTGAATCTCTGCTTGCAGCTTCTGGGAGGTGAAGCCTCTTAGCATGTGAAGACCTGTGCTCCTCCATACCTTCACAGGAGCTGTCCCAGCTATGTCTGAGGAGGCTTAGAGGTGCGAGAGGAATGAAGGCTGAAGGCAGAGTGATAAGGTGCCATTGTTAACACCTCAGCAGATCAACAAAGTCTCTCAGTTGCTATTATAATACCAGAGTTTTGTGTATTGTGGATAGGCAAAAAGAACAGGTGAAATAATAGAGCACAGCTGTGTAAATACATCAGGGCTGACCTGACAGTGCTGCTTTTAAATGTGTGGATGTCTGTTTGAATCGTTTAATTTTACAGAGGATTGCGCAAGCATCTTAGTTACCTGCTCAAGCGACGAGGGTAGGGATAAGCAGTTTTTAACTGTAAAAATGTGCTTCTATTCAGAAGCTTACACCAAGTAGTCCAGTACTGAATAAAAAGTTTCGCAAACACTTTCTACTCTACTGTTTTGCAGTAAATAAATATTTATTTAAAGCGTCTTCAGCCCCTTCCGTCACTTGGTGGCGCACCGTATCTTTAGTGATAAAATGCCAGCCTCTTCCCGTTGGGTTCTCTTCCAGCGCTTTATTTAATCATGTTGTGACTCCCCCAGCCCTGTTCCTAACATCGCTAGAATCGTTCCTCCCTCAGAACCAAGCCCCGCTCCCATCGCCCCGCCAGGCGAGGAGAGGAGGAGACAGGCCGCTCCCTCAGCCGCGGCGGGCGGCCCGCCGTCCCAGCGTGCTCCGCGGCCACGCATGCTTCGTAGGCCGCGTCGACGGGCTTCGGGGTGGGGGGTGGTTGCCGCGCTTCACTTCTATGGGGCGAAGGGGGCGGCTGGCGGCGGCCGCACTTCAGGTGGGCGCGGAGGGCGGCGGGGCGGGCT